CTCACCGAGCGCCCGGGTGCCACGCCAAGCAGGGGTGCGAGCCCGACAAAGGCCACGCGAGGCGTGGTGCACGCAGGCGGGGTGCGGGGCTGGCTGCCCGGCGGGGCATGGGGGACGGCGGGCCGTCAACACTGATCGCGCTGCCCGAGCCTCGGCCGCCGCCGCCTCCCACCCAACTTACGTGTCACCCGCGGCCCCGGCGCCGGCCAACGGGATTCCGGGAGGAAGTCCCCCTCGGGCTCCCCGCTCATTGGGCCCGCGCGCGCCGCCGCTCCCACCCTTCGGCGAGGCAGGCCCGGCCCCCATTGGGCGCCCGCTTTGTCCGTCCGACCTCGCTCCGGCCCTCCCTCCGCGGGGGCCGGCGAGGGGCTCCGTGGGGTGCGCGGCCGCCTGGCGCCGGGGTGCGCCCACGTGGAGTAGGGGCGGCGGAGCGAGGCGGAGGGGCGGGGGACCCGGCCCGCGTCCTGGCAACTTGCAGTCCGCACGTGCGTCAATCGGTGTGTGTAGTGTGTGTGTGTGTGTGTGTGTGTGTGTGTGTACACTCGTGTACTCTTTCCGTCTGAGTGTGCGTAAATATGCGTGTGTATGTGGCCCGCGCCCTGGCAACTTGCAGTTCACACGTGTGTCAGTCTGAGTCTGTGTGTAAATGTGTGTGTGTGTGTCGCACGTGTGTCAGTCTGAGTGTGTGTGTGCGCGCGCGCTCGCGCCGCCACTCGGGACCCACGTGGGAAGAGAAACACCGAAGTGCGGAGGCCACCACACGCGTTCTGCTGAGCCCCCTTAGTGTGTGTGTGTGTGTGTGTGTGTGTGTGTGTGTGGTGTGAGAGAGAGAGTGAGTGTCTCTGTCTGTCTGTGTCTGTGCGCGCCGCCACTCAGGACCCACACAGGTAGAGAAAGCCCAGAAGCGCGGAAGTCACTGTGCGCGTTCTGTGCGCCCCCCTCATTTATTTCCCTATGCGGGCAGACGGTGAAGGCTCCCGGGACAGCTCCAGTGTCAGCCCAGGCTTCACGCTTGGGGCAGAAAAGATGTGCCAACCGGGCTTTGCCTTGTCCTGCGTTCAAGCCTGGATGTGACCACAGAGGGAACTGAAGGAGTCACAAGGTTGAAGCTCTGTTCACTGCGCCTCTGTCCACACGGGCTGGCAGAGGGGAAAGAAATTAACTCACTCTTCCACCCCACACCGCCTCCCCCGCAGATAAACCCACTGTCAACCAGCCATGGCAAATCTAACTCCAGCTTTTCTGAGGCTGTAAATCAAGAGTCTACTCATTCCAGGGCTGTGAATCCTAACAGGAGAAGCCTGCCTCATTTTTCTCTCATCGATTCAAACCACCAAATTTCTGGTTAGCAGCCCAACAGGTAAAGGCACTGTTGTATCAGGATCGCTCTGTAAGTACTAAAGCATAATTATGGCTGACTTGGCACTGAGCTTGAGAACACTCTACTCAACAAGGGAGCACTAACGGTGTCATCTGTAAGGGGTCACTGTGAGAACCGAAGGTGATGTCTCTCTGGCAGTTCTCATGCGTTTGATGTGACAGATGTGATAACGGTCACCCATGGTGGACAGTGTTTGGTGGAGCTTCCCGATTAAAACAAGCTTGGAAGCAGGAGTGGCATCCACTTCCAAAATAGCTTGCCTCTAGAAAGAAACTCTATGAATGTGGAAAACGATGAAAGTTATACACGTACGTGTCCAGGTCTTTCGTTCACAGGGTTACTATGAGTTGTCTATGACTCAATGGCACTTAACAACAACATGGGAAGGGCTACATATCAAGGTTACTAATTCCATCCTTACCACTGCCAACCCAAGTTAACATGCCCGTAGAGTACAGCCTCTTAGAAATGATGAGGATGGCACAGGCTAGGGCAGCAGGAAAAGCTTCACATCCATTGCTCATAGAGTCTCCATGAGTTGTTCTCCACGTGGAGGCATCTAAAACAAGGAACAATAGAGCAGCCTCTCCTTATTGATAGGAGAAGGTAGGACCTATTGCCAACAGATACCTGGTACACATATGACTCTAGCTAAGATAGAACACCATCTTATACAGTGGTGGACACACAAGCCTCCACTGATGGTGGTATTATGTACCATAAAGTTGCATGCAACTCACAGCAACCCAAGGGACAATATCCCTAAACCCTGCTCTATCCTGCACCAATCTCATCATCTCTGACACACCAGTGTCCATTATGCCAGTCACTGAACCAATCCATTTCATCAAGGGTCTTCCTCTCCTGCACTGTCCCTCCACCCTCCCAAGCATGACATTCCTCTCCAAGGACTGGTCTCTTCTTGCAACATGTCCAAAGTACCTCAGATGAAGCCTCAGAATCCTTGCCTCCAAGGAACAGCCTGGTTTCATCCTCTCTATGATGAACATGTTTGTTCTCTTAGCAGTCCATGGTATACTCAATATTCTTCTCCAGCACCACAGCTCAAAGGCATCAATTCTTCTATTATCTCTAGGCATTGTTCAGCTCTCTGATGCATAACAAGTAATTGCAAAGACAATGGCCTGGATCAGGCGCACCTTAGTCTCCAGACTGACACTGTTGTTCTTCAGTTTGGAGAGGTCTCTGACAGCAGGTTTTCCCAATGCAATTTGTCTCTTAATTTCCTGGCTGCTGGTACCAAGAGTGTTGATTATGGAGCCAAGCAAACTAAAGCTGTTCAATCTCAATCTCTTCACCATCGATCATGATGACACCAATTGGCCTGGTGGTTAGAATCTTTGTTTTCTTGATATTGAGCTTCAATCCATATTGAAGGCTGCAGTCTTTGACCTTCTGCAACAAGTACTTCAGGGCCTCTTCACTTTGATCAAGCAGGGTTGTGTCATCTGCACAACACAGATTGTTGAAGAGTCTTCTTCCAATCCTGATGCCACATTTCTCCTCATAGATCCCAGCCTCCTCTGTTCTGCATATAGATTGAAAAGGTATGGAGATAGGACACATCCTTGATGTACACCCTTCCCAATTTTGAACCATGCAGTGTTCCCTTGCTCTATTCTGATGACTGCCTCCTGGTCCAAGCGTAGGTTTTGCATAAGCACTATCAATTGTTCTGGGATTCCCATTCTTCTCAGAGTCAGCCACAGTTCGTTGTGATCCACAGTCAAAAGCCTTTACATTGTGAATGGAACACAGATATTCCTCTGATGCTCCAGCCTTTCAACCAAGATTTGTCTAACATTAGTTATAATATCACTAGTACTACGGCCTCTTCTAAATCCAATCTGCACTTTTAGCAGTTCTCTGTTGATGTTCTGTTCAAGTCATTTTTGGATAATTTTTCAGCAGAATCTTGCTTGCTTGTGATATTAATAATATTGTTCAATAACTGCCACACTCTGTCGGGTCACCTTTCTTTGGAATGGGAACAAATAAAGATCTCTTCTAGTCACTTGGACAGGTGGTTGTCTTCCAGATTTCTTGGCACAACTTGGTGAGCACATCCAGGGTAGCATATGTTTGTTGAAATATGTCAATTGGTATGCCGTCAATTCCTAGAGCCTTGGTTGGTTTGTTTGTTTGTTTTGGGGGGTTTTTTTGCAATTCTTTCAGAGCAGGCTGAACTTCTTCCTTCATCACCATAGGCTCTTGCTCATACGTTGTTTCATGAAATTCTTTTGTGTCCACCAATTCCTTTTGGTACAGTGGCTGTATACTCTTTCAATCTTCTTTTAATGCTTCCTGCATCATTTCATATTCTGCCCATAGCATCCTTAAGTATTGCAACTGGAGGCTTGAATTTGTTCTTCAGTTTAAGAAATGCTGAGGGAGCTCTGGTAGCCTAGTGGCAAGAAGCTGCACTGCAATCCCAGAGGCCTGCAGTTCCAATTCACCAGCTGCTCTGCTGGAGAAGGAGGGACAATCTCCTCCTGTACCAGTCAGATCCAATTTGCCAGTACACACACACACACACACACACACACACACACACACACAAGATAGAAAAGAAAAATAAATGCTGAACAAGTTCAGCCCTTTTGGTTTTCTGATGCCAACTCTTTGCACATTTCATTTTAATACTTTACCTTGTCTTCTCACACTGCCCTTTCAAACCTTCTCTTCAGTTCCTTAATATCATGATTTCTTCAATTTGCTTTGGCTTCTTGGCACTCTAGTGTAATATCCAGAGTCTCTTCTGACATCCATCTTGGTCTTTATTATTGTTGTTGTTGTTGTTGTTATGTGCCATTGAGTCACCTGCAACTCATAGCAAACCTATGTACAATAGCCCTAAACCCTGCTCTAACCTGTGCCAATCTCACTGTCTCTGACACACCTACCCCCATTAACCCAGTCAATGAATTAATCCACCTCATAGAGACTCTTCCTCAGCTGTGCTGTCCCTCTACCCTCCCAAGCATGATGTCCTTTTCCAAGGAGTGGTCACTTCTTGCAAGTTCAAGCTGAAGCTAAGGAAAATGAAATAAAATCCACGGAAACCAAAATACGACCTTGAGTCTATCCCACCTGAATTTCAGAATCACCTCGGGAACAGGTTTGAGGCCTCAAACACCAATGAGAAAAGACCAGATGAGTTGTAGGAAGATATCCAGAGTA